TTGGGGGGGGGGGGGGTTCATCGCTGACTCGTCGACTGTTTGTCGGAGCTTGCTTTCGCTTCTCCTCCTTTTAGCTGTTTCTGTGACGAAGAAGCTCGAGTTGATATGTGAAAATTTCGCGAATTTTTGCGGCTGGCGTATCCGTCTACCTACACTATTGTAAAGTACATATCTATATGCAGTGGCGGAAGCAAAGTGCGTGTCGAGATGGCTTGATGGAAGCTATACACTACACTAGATTGGTCAAGTTGGCCAGTTCGTTGGGGTGGCCAAGAAAAGTGGAGTTGACCGCTGTTTAGAACCACATCCGGACTGGCTTCAAGTTTTTCTTTGCAACTTGTGAAGATGGTTCGGGCCCGGGCCAGTGAGGCGACGATGTGCTGATCCACCACGCACCCAATTCTGGAGATGGACGTCGAGTTGTTTCCATTTGTCGTAGGGGAGCGCATGTAGATAACTTGACTATCATATGCTCGTTTCTCCCATTCAGGTGGGTTGCGGTTGGCCATAGCAGCACCTATCAATTCACCTTGAACTGTTCTTCGGTCGTGTAGCCTCCTGAATCTTGCCTCTCGTTGACTGTCGTTGTTTTCCATACAGCGTGCAGGGTGTTGTTCGTTGTTGTCCAAGGGCACGTCGATTGGTGAACGGTTTGCGAAGCTTTCTTTGGCGGGGTTCGATGACCCCACATCTCCGGTCTTTGGGAATGCGCAGAGGGGTCAGGTCGGGGCACCTCACCTCACTGCCTGGCATGCGGGTACAAGGAAAGTTACCGGGCAAGTACCGTCCCTGCATCGTATTGACAAATTATATGAGACCATTCGTGCCATGATAAGCGCTGCGAAGGTCTCGTCAATTTTGTCATTGCTATGACCGTATATAAGTACACTAGTACCGTGACCGTTACCCAACTCCAGCTTTGGAGAAGGCGGGTGAGTGGGTGAGGCAAGCGATCGGCCGACGCGGGATCCTTGGCCTTGTCAACCCCGGTCGCCAATGGGACTCACTCCGGGGATCGGCGTCACTTTACTTTCGTTTCTCTGTGCTCTTTCCATTGCTCGAGCTTGCTTGTGTGTCTCCTCGGGTTCGCCCATTGCCTTCGGGGACGTGGTCGGCCGTGTTCGACAAAAAAGCTGCCCTTACGCACTTTCCCTCTCCCGGTGGCCCCGTGCATATCTGTAGACTGCCTCTGGCCTTCTTTCGCTTTTTCATTTTGTCTCTTGCCTCTCTCCTTTCTCCGAATTTTCTCACTTCCCACCACCATTGTCTTTCGTCTTTGGTGTCCTTTTCATCTGGAGTTCGAGGCAATCGGATCCAAAAGAGGAATCACGCTATCGCACGGATACTTCGGGCGTAGAAACCACGTTGGCTATCGAAAAGGTAGCAGTCCAGAAGACGAAGAGACCTTGAACACTTGGTTTCTTCACCTTGTCATTAGGTAGGTAGGCACGACTATGAATCCACCACCCCGTGTATCATGGGCTTCCCGTTCGTGCATTTCCTCAACAACCTTTCCGCGTGGGAGTTTCCCTATCTTCTCCCGAGTACGCAGCGTCCAACGGACCGTCCCAGCGTACTAATCCATCACGTTCGATATCCCAATCGCAATGTCCCGTCGTCGGTCCCATCTAGCCGGTCCTTTTCTGGGTGCCATCGTCCAAACTCTCGCCTCCCCGGGAGCTTGGACAACTGGTTGGGCCACCAACCGTGACCGCGACTGCGACCAAGCATCAGTTCTTTGTCACCCCTCTCAGTATTCTTGTCAACAAAGAATAATGCTAACTCAGACGTTGCAGAATACCTACTGCCACTTATATAACATAACAAGTCCCTTAATACGCGCTCCCCGCAGTCGCACCCAACACACCCGGTCAAGATGCATATCCGGGAGATGCTTGCCGATGCCGAAAGGACGAAGGCCCCGTCCTTCTCCTTCGAGTACTTCCCGCCCAAGACGGCACAGGGTGTCCAGAACCTCTACGACCGCATGGACCGCATGTACAACTTTGGTCCCAAGTTCATTGACATCACATGGGGCGCCGGTGGTCGTATTGCCGAACTTACCTGCGAAATGGTTGCCCAAGCCCAGGCTTACCTCGGCCTCGAGACGTGTATGCATCTCACCTGCACCGACATGGGTGAGGAGAAGGTGAACAACGCTCTGCAAAGGGCCTACAAGGCCGGCTGCACCAACATTTTGGCATTGCGAGGTGATCCTCCCCGTGAGAAGGAGAGGTGGGAGGCTGCTGAGGGCGGTTTCCAGTACGCTCGGGACTTGGTCGCCCATATTCGCAAGCTGTACGGCGACCACTTCGACATTGGTGTTGCTGGCTATCCCGAGGGTTGCGATGACAACAAGGATGAGGAGTCTCTGCTCGATCACCTGAAGGAGAAAGTCGACATGGGCGCGTCCTTCATTGTCACTCAGATGTTCTACGACGTTGACAACTTCCTGCGCTGGGTCAAGCGGGTTAGGGAGAGGGGGATCACAATTCCTATTATTCCTGGCATCATGCCCATCGCCACCTACGCCAGTTTCATTCGCCGCGCGAACCACATGAACTGCAAGATCCCCGAGGAATGGATGGCGAAACTCGAGCCCGTCAAGAACGATGATGTGGCTGTCCGTGAGATTGGCAAGACTCTTGTTGCCGAAATGTGTCGCAAGATTGTCGACGCGGGTATCCGCCACTTGCATTTCTACACCATGAACCTCGCCCAGGCTACGCGCATGGTTCTTGAGGAGCTTGACTGGTTGCCTTCGCCCAACCGGCCGCTCAAGCGCGCTCTTCCCTGGAAGCAGTCTTTGGGTTCTGGGAGAAGGGATGAAGATGTGCGCCCCATCTTCTGGCGCAACCGCAACAAATCCTACATCACCCGCACCCAAGACTGGGACGAGTTTCCTAACGGCCGCTGGGGTGATTCGAGATCTCCTGCCTTCGGTGAGCTTGATGCCTATGGTATTGGCTTGACGGGTTCCAATGAGCTGAATCGCAAGAAGTGGGGCGAGCCTCAAACCGTCAAGGACATCGCCAACCTCTTCGTGCGCTATCTTAACCAGGAGCTCGAATACCTGCCATGGAGCGAGGCCCCTATCTCGAGCGAAGCTGAGCTGATCAAGGATGACCTCATTGCTCTCAACAACCGTGGCTTGATCACCATTAACTCCCAGCCGGCTGTCAATGGCGTCAAGTCGACACACCCCGTCCATGGCTGGGGTCCCGCGAATGGTTATGTCTATCAAAAGGCTTATCTGGAACTCTTAGTCTCTCCAGAACTCTTCCCCGAAATCAAGCGCCGGATCGAGGACCACCCCGACATCACCTACTATGCCGTAACCAAGTCCGGTAACCTCCACACCAATGCGCCATCCGAAGGACCCAACGCAGTTACATGGGGTGTTTTCCCAGGCAAGGAGATCGTGCAGCCCACCATCGTTGAGAGCATCAGCTTCCTTGCCTGGAAGGACGAGGCCTTCCAACTGGGTCTTGAGTGGGCCCGCTGCTACGACGCCGATACCCCCAGTCGCCTCCTGATTGAGGACATCATGAACAAGTGGTATTTGATCAACATTGGTAAGTTGAACACAGCTCAGCTGTTTCCTCAAGTATGTACTAACTTTGGTTCTTAGTAAACAACGATTTTCACCAACCACGCACCATCTTCGAGATCTTGAATGACCTGTCTCTTCCCGATCTTGAGAAGGTTTACACGCCCGCACATACGAATGGTGCAACCAACGGCGTTTCTGAGGCTTCAACAGTGCCTCAATAAAGGAGATACGTCCTCTCTTCTTTTACTTTTCCTCCCAACGACATATTATTTCAACATTTTTTCTTATTTTTTTCAACAATGCATGGAAGCCTACGGGTAGGCTTTCCACTCCCCGTTACCTAAACGTAATATTTGACCGTTTTTCAACAAAAAGCGCGTTTTCAGACAACAAGCATGACGTACTCTGCTGCCAGGTTTTGCGGGATACAACAGGACAGAGCAACGACAACGATTGATGATTCCAAGTTTTGCCGAACCACAAGGCAGCATTTGCATACCAAGCATATATACAGAGAACGGAAAGGGTACCGGGGAAACTTTCAACACACACGGGAGAGGAAAAGGAAAGAGGTTAAAGCACAGCATTATACAAAACCGGCGTTCTGCGATGTCGAGCTTTGGCGGGATTGGACCGTCGGGTAAGTGGCATTATTTTGGGCGAGTTTGATTTTTCAACAAAAATTCGGAAGGAGCATGGGACCGGCACCTTGAGGGAGATGATCAACAAAGGTACGAGGATGAAAATTGAAAGGAGAAATAAACGCACGAAGTGAATGAGGATCTGTGGACATGTGGGCATAGGCAGGACGGTGCATATCTCAACGATACCCGGAAGTGGAATGGAAAATGGTGTTAGGCAGGCAGGCATCGAGAATGGATTTTGGATTGGATCATCTTGTATTGACTCCTCTTCGACCACCACGATCAATTGCTTCCCTTGCAGTGAATGTTGAATAGCCCGGCAGGTGAACAACGAGCAATTAGCACGCGCATCACTGTGAAAGTATACTCTTCTTACCTACGCAAAGAAGTTCTAACTAGGTGAGCCAATCCCATGTTGCCGATACCGCTGGACATTTGGCTTTTATCTGCCCAACATAGTCAGACTAGAAATAAGATAAGGCTTCATTGTTTCCCATTATGGTACTGTCAAAAACCCACGAGTCGCTGCAGTTGTCTAGTAGGACCTCGGTAGCTATCAGTTGGCGCACATGTCACAGTTTCCGGAACAACACACAAGGCATCACTCTAGAGAAATAGAGGGCCGACAAGGCCCGTTGATCATGTTCCAAGTATGGGGAAACCCGCTTGACCACATTTCGTCTCACTTGGAAACCCCCCCCCGCCGTACCCTCCATTCGAAGAAGATTTAGACGAATGAGGGTGAGGGACAAAGTGGACGGGATGTTTCAGGGTCCCCCTCTTCCTTCTTTAGAAATAAACGGGACGGGGAAGAGACAAGGGGCCAATGCCGCTGGATACCATAGCCAGTGTCAGTGTGCCACCACCCACCGGATAGAAACAGCCTTTCATGAGCAGTTTTGCGGGATAGTAAGGCAGTGAGTGGTAGGGCGGTAGAGATGGCTTGAACGGAAGAACACTGGAGGATCGTCGTCATGGGTGTGGTGTCGACGAGTTCGTAAGTAGTGCATACCTTTACATAGCTCAAGTGCTCAGGTTGCTTGTACTACCCAAGCACACATCTGCCAGCTTTAAACTTGTTAGCGCGGTAAATTGCAATTGGCAAGAATTCTAATTTTCCTACATAACATGGCTCGTTTAACCACAGCTACTATGTAAACCCCTGAATGCTGCAAGATGGCGATACCACGCTAACAAAGTTTGATGCCGGCAGAGGTGTACATACTTAGCTTTTGCACCGAAACCTCATATATGAAACACGACTTGGCAACCCTCGTTTGTTATGTACTCTGGCCAGCGGAGAACTCTGGAAGACTTCTGAGATGTCTCTTCCATCATGGCATTAGGTCGTACTGGAAAGCTGCAGCTTCGACACCTGCGCGAGAAAGGGATGCTGTTGAGCTAACAACCGGTTATCTTTACTCTTCAGCGTGAATTCTCACTCGTAAAGGTGAGAGTCGGAAGGGGTCAAAAGGTGGGAGTTTTGTCACTTGGTCATGCTGAAATTTCGTTCTGTCTGAGTTGTACCGACGTTCACTCCTCGTATTATTAGCATCTTTTCCCCTGGATGCTGCATCTGGACCCCTCTCCCTGAAGAAAAAAAAAAAAAAAAAAAAAAAAAAAACAGATACTGCTTGTAAAGAGTTCTCTACAGACGATATCGTTTCGCCAAGCAGCCCGCTGGGCTCGTATACCTGGCGGATATTGCAGGGCTGCTTCGAGGAATCTGAATGGCGTCAGCGAATCCCCTTGTCCTGACTTCTGGGACAAGCAGACCCAAAGAAGAGCAAGACAAGGAAATATTAAGGGTGAAGCATTGTGTAACAAGCCAAGTGATTATCTCCGTAGACGACGGCTAGACCGACGGAGCTGCTGACTGGCAAAGCAAACAGTCAAGCTGACCATCCGTCTATGAGTTGAAGTCTTGATATTACCGTGTGGGTTGTGTTCGCTGTTTGGGGAAGTGTCTGCCATCGATCTCCGTGGTTGATGGTAAGGACGAATTCATTTCGACATTCCATCTCCAGACTGTCTACACGAGGTAGATGGGAAGACGCCTGCCTACCTCTATTGGCTGGCCTTCCACTCAGACCCCCGTTTCCCCTGTGCAAGCCCCTGCTGGACCCTCTTGTCTCCCCGGCAGCGCCCTGAGCACCCACTCCAGTTTTGACCCACCCACCGCCTGAGGGAGGTGGATTGAGTGGAGTAAGTACGCAGCAATGACGGGGTCGTATCTCTTTTTGATGAGGGATGGCAGCCCCAGAAACGGAATGACAGGCGCAGGCCATACCTACCTGACCTCTACCTCCTTGCACCACCCATATGCTGTGCTGGGAGTGCTGACATGCTGCTAGGTGGAGGAGGTGCGACCGCCAAACTGAAGGTGCCTACTAGAGGTACCTACACCTACAGGCCCGAGGCAGTGAGGACGAAGTGAGGGAGGGGATGGAACTGGAAGCACAGTCCACCTACTGAACCGCACCTGGGGGGTGTGCCAGACGAGGGACTTCCACAAGAGGTTCCAGTCCAGGGGCCCGCCGTGCGCGATCGTCCAGTCTCCGTCTCCCACTTTCCATTCTTCAAGGTCGACATAGCTCCAGGCCATCAAGACCTTGGAGCACACACTTGGCCTGGCGAGTCGAGCCGTGCTACAGTATTGTTGCTTCTGCTTCCCGTTGCTCTGCCTCTTTTTCTCCTGGCCGATGAGCATCGCAACATCACGATATTTACGTCCGCTTTGCCCAACCCCTGCTTACCTCGTTGCCTCCCAGGGCTCCGTAGAGGCGGGACGGTTTTCCCTTCCGTCGCCTTCCACCAATCTGGCTATCTACCTCCCGTTACTTGCGGTATCAGCGACGCCTACCGCGACCGCTTCCCGACCCCGACATTGACCTCAACCTCAACCTCACCACAAGAGTCCGAGTCAAGGCCACTTACGTATATTGCCGCAGCTCACGCCAGCTACCGCGCCGAAGACGAACGACAGCCCACGAACGCAATTGCTAGACGCACTCCATAGCCCCCGTTCCATCGCACATCCCCCCTATCCCCGCCTGGTGCTGGACTCTCCCCGAGTGAAATAGGTGATCAGATATACGCAGAAGCTATTTGGTTCACCTACCTTTATAGACGCATCATCGAGACGCGAACGATCGATAATCACTATTGCGCCGGGCCCGATAGGACGGGCGATTCCGCTACTGCGTGCCCCCCCCCCCCCCC